GGTCGGCCAGATGACCTTCTGGTTCCTTAGTCTTCACGACCATGTCGTCGATGTAAACCTCCACCGTTTGGCTGATTAGGTGTCCGAACATCTTGGTTACCAATCTTTGGTAAGTTACTCCTACGTTTTTCAACCCAAAAGGCATCACTTTGTAGTAGTACAGCCTTTTTGGGTGATAAACGCAGTTTTCTCTTCATCTGGGAGGTACATGGCTATCTGGTGATACCCCCTGTAGGCATCTAGGAAGCTCATCCTTCCATGCCCTGAAGTGGCATCCACCAGCTGGTCAATCTTGGATAGAGGGAAGCTATCTTTGGGACAGGCCTTGTTTAGGTTGGTAAAGTCCACCCAAACTCTCCATTTACCATTCTTTTTCTTCACCACCACTGTGTTTGACAACCATGTCGGGTAGTTTACCTCTTGGATGGCCCTGGCCTCCAGAAGTCTGTCTACTTCCTCTTCTACTGCCTCGACGTGCATCAACGTCGGTCTTCTTACTTGTTGGATTACAGGTTTGGCCGACCTGTCAATGTTCTGTTTATGGCAAGTGACCTCGGGGTCAATGCCAGGCATTTCGTAAGGCATCCAGGCAAACACTTCAATGTTTGCTCACAGGAAATCCTCCAACTCTTTTTCGTCTTCTTCGGCTAAGCTCGAGCTGAGAAAGAAGAAGTGTTCTCCATCCCCCTCTTGGACGAGGATTTTCTTAAGTGCTTCTTCACTTTTCTCGGCTGGCTCCTTGCCGACATCTTCTAGAACTTCTACGTCCTCGTCTTCGATTTTTGCCTTCTCTGATTTTCGTATGCTGCAGGTAGATTTCATTTTTTCCATGGAGCAATTCTTCGCTTGTAGCTGATCTCCTCTGACTTTTTCTATCCCATGCTCTGTTGGGAACCGCAGTAGTTGGTGCAATGTTGAGGGAACAACCATCATTGCGTGCAGCCGTGGCCTCCCCAGAATTGTATTATAAGGGGAGGGTATGTCGATTACGGTGAACTCTGTCCGTATCTTCCTGGTGCCAGCCTGCACCTCCAAGTTCGTTTTTCCCAGTGGCCACGTCGGCGTTCCATTGAACCCGACCATTGGGCCATTGGATTGCTCCATGTCGTCTGGGTGATGGCCATTGGATTGCTCCATGCCATTGGATTGCTCCTTGTAACACCTGACATACATGATGTCACAAGAGTTACCTTGGTCGATCAGGATGCGCTTCACTTGGCACTCCCCAACCTGGAGGGATACTACCAAGGCATCGTTATGTGGATGTTGTACCATCTCAAGGTCGGCTTCAGTAAAGGACACTACTGGTCCCTGACACTCCTCGGCCCGATGTCGTTTATTCCCAACTTGGTACACATGCTGCAAGTGCATTACCTTCTGGGTCTCCCCCCGTATTTCATTTTCGTTGAACTTCGAGTGAATTACATTAATTACCCGAGGTTCTTCTGCCTGCGGTTGTTGTGCTGGGGGGGTGGAGCTGCTGGCGCCTGAGGCAATCTTGCTTGTTCTTCCCTTGTTCTGGCCTCGTCTACAAGGTCCCTTAAATGGCCTTGCCTTACCAGGTCTTCCAAGTGTGCTTTCAGGGCTCTGCAACCTTGAGTTATATGCCCATCTTCGTTATGGTAAGCACAATGCTTACCAAGGCTTCTTCCCATAAATTCTCTTGGCACCCTGGCTGGTGCTCTAAAATAGGGCTGGGATCGGATTTTGTCTAGGACTTTATGAATTGGGATTCGGAACACAGTTGTGACTGCCTGTGTAGCCCTCAGTCCTATCTCCTTGTTGGACCCGTTGTTACCTCGGCCTCGCTTCAGCGAGCCGTTACCCTTCTCTGGCTTCGTCTCCTTAGCTCCTGAGGTGTCTTCCTCGGCTCTGGCATACTTCTCAATTCTGGCCATGAGCTCTTCCATGCTTTTTGGCAATGTCTTTGCCAAAGACTTTCGTAGTGGGCAGTCATCTTTTAGGTCATTCTTGAAAGATACGACCGCCACCTCTTGGTTGCATTCGGGTATTCGGTTGAACACCTCGTAGTACCTTTTTGCGTAGCCCCTAAGGCCTTCATCCTTACTGATTCTTAGAGCCATCAATGCGTCCACCCTCAATGGTTGTAGCTTGTTTGTCACGAACCTAGCCACGAACATCTCGGCCAGGCCTTCCCAGGTCTTCACACTTCCCTTCGGCAGTTTGTGGAACCAATCTGATGCAATCTCCCCGAAGGATGAGGGGAACACTTTGCAGAGCAACGACTTGTTCCCACTATACAATGCCATTGAGTTCAAGTATAATCCAACATGAAAGTTGGGGTCTGACTTTCCATCGTATATTTGGAACCTCGGCATACTAAATCTCTTCAATGCCTCAAATTTGTCTAACTCCACTGAGAATGGTGTTCTCGGCTTAACAGGTGAAGTTACCTCGGCATCGGCATTATGTTGTTTCCTTTTGAGGTAATCTCTCAAGTCTTCCTTGCTCCGCCCAGGAGCTCGGCTATCTCCCGACTTCAGTCTTTTTGGCATACTACTCTCAGCTTCGTTGTGGGCCCTTTTCGACCTTTCTCCATGAGTTGTGTCGAAGCACAGCTCCTGCTTTTGAACATGCCGATGTTCTCTAGGGTCTGCTTCTTTAGTGCGATGTGTCCTTCGTGACTCTTCTCTCCTCGACTCTCCTCGCTCGACCTCCCTAGAAGGCTGGTGAGAGTGTTTTTCGCTTCTGGTGTGCTGAGGGGCTGTAGGGACTGTGTGACGCCCCAAAATTTGGGGACATCATAATAAGGTTTAAAACTTAAAATCAATTTTCTTGATTAAGAATCCTCATCAATGTTGCCACCAAATTTACCATCATCCATTAATTAACAACATCGAAACTAAAAGTTCTTAAATTACAACTCTAGTCAAACTTAAAACTTTGTCTTAGTACAAAAATAAAAAATAAAAAAACTAGAGAAAAACTAGAAAACTCAGAAAATGGAACTTTGGCACACTTCAAGCTAATCAAGGCTGAATGTTACCTTCCAACACCTCGGTGTTTCCTTCGGTTTCTTTGGTACCTGGCATGAAACGCCAGGGCAACGAGGATACCAATGAGCGACGAACTCAATAAGATACTACAACCCGAAATATCCACCCCGATAATAATACCCACAATGAATAATGCGTAGTAACAGAATAACATGTAGCATTTAATAAGCATAATAGGAATGCTATCAATTGAAATAATAACAATAGATAATAAGTAAATAAAAAATGATAACCAGAGGCAGTATTTCATCATGAGGAAAATGCCCACTTTTCTTTTTAAAATTTTCACAGATTTAGTTTATCAAATAAGTTTAAGTAACTCCCCGTGGAGCACTATTTCCATTCAACTACTAAGCAATGGCCACGGGCAATTCTGACTCTCCCTTGGTCAAATTTTCAAATGTTACCTACAGTAACTACCAATGATGCCCACGTACCAGGGTTACATACTCGAGTCGTGACATCACGGTCTGCCCTAAGGGAACGGTCTATGTTGTGACACCTGCACCACCAACCTTATATCGCCTACACCGATAAGAGCCGAAATACCTTCCTGTGCCATGCTAGGGTTCGCAACTCGCTCAAGATTCTAAACCGGGCTCACCCCATCACTTTTACATTTTAATGTATCATTGGTTAAATTTCGTGTTTCTTTATTTGTTGAGATATTCACAATAATCCAAAATTTAATTACCAATAATGTTATACCAACTCATTAAAATCCTAACATAAAATGTTACGCATGTCACACAACAATAAACAATTGTACAAAATTTAAATAAACAATTTATTTAAACCATGGTATGGAATAATAATTTAGATACCAAAAAAAAAAAAAAAAAAAAAAAAATAAATCATAATTCCACACATGCATGGACTTTTAATCTATAAGATTAAACTAGCACAATATTAAATAAACCACAATACACCCATACATGGATTACTAATTTACAATATTTGATGAATTAGACCAACACAATAACTGATTTTATTTTTTTTATCCAAATAAATAATTGAAGTGATGATCTTAAATCTGTCCAGAAATTTTCAAGTTATACCTTAGGTAATAAAAATTATAAATAAATTATTTATACAGTTGTAAAATTCGTGAAAATGTACAGAATATTCAATAAATATGTTTAGGTCATTTTTTAGAAAGAATTTCCCAAAAATAAGTTATAAATAAACAATTGAAGAGATAGTTTTTGATTCCTCCTTAATCTGTCAAAATTTTCGGAATGTATATCATGCAAATACAATTATAAATAAATTACTTATACAATTTTAAAATTCATATAAATCTACAGAATACTCAATAAACATGTTATTGTCATTTTTCATAAAGCATTTTCCAAACATAATTTATAAATAATTCTTAAAAATTCCAAGAGTGTTTATGACACAGATTTATCACATTTTCTTAAATTAATTCCATACTTAAATTTATAAATCAATTCCATGATCTAAAAATTTATTATGAAACTAGACTTCTCAAATTTCATTTTTTGCTTAGAAATTATCAGATTTGGTTTAATATAAATTTTTTAATGATTTTTCAAACACATAATAAAATCTGCCTATAGCTCTAGATTTGGTTAGAAATTTTTATAAATTCGTACAAAACTCAATAATTGTTGAAAAAAGTTTGTGGATAAACTAGACATCATTATCAAAAACTTTGTAGAAGAAATCATCTTCAAATTTTGAGTATAAAATTGTCTAAAAATTCGTACAACTCTCTGGCAAATTTAAATGGCCAAATAACATCTTCAATAATCTTTTTAATGGCATAAACTACACATGCAAGTCCAAATTCCACAATATTATCATGATTTTCAGACTACCAATATTTGATATACCATCATAAATTTTCATACAATTATAAATAAAATTCTATCTACAAGTTTAGACATTTTATCATATGTATATAATCTGAAAATTTCAAATATTAAAAAAATGAGAGGGTTGAAAGGGTTTTCTTACTATGTTAGGTTGCTAGCGATTTATCGTCCGAATTTGATTTATGATTCTGATCGTAAGATATGACCGTCCTGGCTCCATGATTGCCTTGCTGAAATTTCACATTAATCGGACACGATCTCACCGTTGATCTTTCATTGAATTCTCTTGGAACTCTTAGTTGTTGATCATCATCTTAGACTTAGAATTTGAAAGATCTAACCCCAAAAATAGATTCTACACGTCGAAAAACCTAAGGGTGGTCATCCCCAAAGTCATAGGACCACTCGATTAACCTAAAGGTACTATGATGCATCGTAGCACCATGGGCCGAGAAACGCTGGATAATATTCAATTCATCTTGTCCAACAGCCATAGCATGCACGAACAGAAGACCCAGAATTTTAGTTTCAATGTCACCAGTTCAAATGCTTGTATCTTTTTCATCATAACTCCGTTTTATCTTATTTTTCTGTCATTGGATTCACCTCACGGCCTAGTTTTTGGTTCACTACTCACACGCCTCGTTCCGTCTCTTTTTGCATGCCGTCGGATCTCCAAAATTTGACGAAAAATAAGATTATTTTCCTACCGTCTCGGACATTTTTTTCGAACCATCTTTCGGACCCCATAACTTTCTTAATTTTTAACGGTTTTACTTTATTCTTTTGCCAATCTCTTCAACTTACTTCGTACTTCATCTTACATGGCCTATTTGTCCCACTTCTTCCCGGAATGGATGGTTTTGGCATGCCGAAAGTAAGCCGCAAACCAACTTTTGAACTTCAAAATAAACTTCTCTAACTTTGTTTCTTTCTCCTCCATCTTCCTTCTTCTTCTCTTTCTTCACCTACAACACTTTGTGAATAGTGGTTTTAGATGATAATGGAAATAGGTGATGGTGGTGGTGGCGGTCCGACGGTGTGCCAATGGTGGTGAAGTTCGCGGGTTGGTGGTTTGGATGGTGATAGTATGGGTTGAGGCCATGGCTATGGAGGTCGGGGGGAGGAGGAAAGAAACATAGATAAGGAAGGAGAAAGAGAGTTTTGAGAATGAGAGGGTTGAGGAGAGGGAACCGAGAGAGATGAAACTGGAAGTGAAGAGAGGTGAGGAAAACTTAGGCTCAATTTATGGGCAAAATGAGGAAGAGTAAAAGAAGATAAAAGAAAATGAAAAGAATTTAAAAAAAAAAAGAAGTTGAACACCTGGTGGTATGGCATCAGCATGCCCACCATGTTTTGATACATAAGAATGAAGGTGGAAAGTGAGAAACCCTGGGGAGCAAATCCATGGTTTTTTTTTTTTTTTTTTTGATTGGGTTTTAGTACAGAAAATATTAGATTCCAGTGTAATTTGGTTATAAAAAAATATAGAGAAAAATATAATAAAAATATCATAAGGTTCAGAAATTAATATTGAGTAATAATATAAAGAAAAAAAATATTTTATTTTATTTTATTTTGAATAAATGTTCAGTATAAAAATATACAGACTATCAAATTCAAAATATTGTGAATAATTATTTAAGAAAATTAAAAATATATATATTATTTTTATTATATAAAAAAATATGGGGTTTCACAGACTGTTTTCTGCCCTCCCTTCTGGGCATTGGCCGCTGGAATCGGCGTGTCCTGCAGCGGGAATGATGGCTGCATGACGTAGTTTTGCATCATAAGATTGACGACCGATTGTAGGTCTACCAATTTGTTTGCCATCTGTTTCACCTCTTCGTCCCTCCGCAGGCATCTATCCTTCCATACCTGGAGGTCATCCTCATTGTAGTACCCGCTCCGATCTGGTTCCTTTGGCACGTCGCCACCTTGGCCGATGTCTTTCCTGCCGTGATTTTGGTTCTGAGTCTCCTCGTTGTGACCATCTTCCTCCATAATAGGATCAGTGTGCTTACCGTTCCCGGCAGGGGTTTTGTTCCCAACCTTATCCTTTTGTTCGTCGCTGGCCATCTATTCTCCTTTCTTTCCCATAGACGGCGCCAAATTGTGTGGGTGAATTTTCGATCACACTGCCAACTTAGTATTCAGCGAGAGAGTACTGGCAGAATAGATGACACCTGACTCACCTGCAACAGAAAGAGAGGATTACGGTGGTGGTTCGTCCACCCGGGGGCACTTTGACGATCAAGTCAGTATATCTCTCAAAGATAATTAATTGCTAAACTCACTTGTTCTGAGTATAAATTGTGTACCTTAGACCCATCGGGGGTGCCTTTCTTTTATAGTTAACTCAATCCTAGTCCCCATAGAAGCCTAGCTTCAATGGACTTCTGCTTAGTGCTTATCCTGGACTCTCCAAGAGATAAAGATACACTCCCTAAGAGTGTTATCCTTATCCATGCTAAAGTCCTTCCTCATTCTAGGACTCTTGTGCCTTATTTGCTTATCTCGGATTCCAATATCTTCGGAGATAACCTCGGCCTAACCGAGATCACCTCGGCGTCATAACCTGGACACGTGGAACCTCGGCGTCACCTTGGCCACGTGTTGAGACTCAGAAAATATATCCCCACAGTAACAAAATTAAAAACATATCTACATAGTTGCTTAAACCCATTTCAGCTAACAAACAAGAAACAGAGCTTTGAAGCAGAGCAGCCAATTTCATATCACAAGCCATTCAACTTATCAAAATGTCAGATCAAGGCTATCTATCTCTTGTCCATTGTCTCTCTCATTTACGTTTTCTCGCAGAATTATAGCACTCACTAATACACAGAAACACTAAGATATACATATTATATATATTGGTTATTATTTACTAACAACATATATATATATATATATATGTGGATAGTTATAAATGGAGCAGCCAAGGAAAAACAGAAAGGTTTCTCATTCTTTTCACCCTCATTTTATTTCCTTTCATGACATGAAGCTTTTGGTGTTTCTAATCATTTCTAATTTGTGCACTTTTTAAAAGGTGTGTGACATGGAAGAGCCTCTTGAAATACCCATAATGAATGATCTCACAATGGCCTTTCTACAGTAGACAAACATAGAGCTATAATCTCTGAGGTTAAGAAGGCAGCAACTGGTCAGAAGTTGTGAAGCCCCTAATTGTGTCACCACCAATTATTGTAATTCCTTTGTCTCCAAGTGGTCGCAAAATAACTGCCTAGTACATTAAAATCAGTAGTCATGAAGAAGACTGAATTAGCATAAATTAGTTGTCATGAAATAAACAATTATAACACAGTAGCTTGATGTTCTTAACTTTCTTCTCCTGATTTATGCAACTGATGTCCTTGATAAGAAACTATAAACATTTTAGCAAAAAATAAAAAATTACTCTCTTGATTAGAAACTCTCAAAACAAGATTATTTTTTAATGAGAGCATGGAATAGAACTTGTAAAAATCTACTTCCAACAATGAAACGAGTATTTCAAAAGTAAGAAAAGCAAGTCGACTTCATAAAAAATGAAACATGATTATCTGTGTGTTTGAAGGCAGAAATGGCAGCTCTGACTTCCCAAGATACAGAGATAGGTTGGCCAAGTAACTCTCTGAATAGTAGGAATTATGGATGGTCATCTTTTTGAAATTAGCTTTTCATTAGGCATGTTTTTTTTTTAAATCGTAACATACCAAAGTAACTGGAATTATGGATGGTCATCTTTTTGAAATGCTATCTCTCTTAGTTTGATATCTATTAATAACAACTAACAACTGAAAAGCAGCAGCTCATTACAGTTTTCTGTTCAATTTCATATTTTTTTGCAAATCCTGATGCAAAAACAACTACAGGAGAAATAAGTTAAAATGAGAATTCATAAACAAATTGTTAGAACTTCGAATAAAATCTAACCCACAATATAAAACCAAGTAATGATCTAAATTCAGCATGACTGCATTAACAATTGTCTTCAGTTTTGTAAAAATCTTCAATTAGCAAAAGTCTATGCATTAGAATTATGAACAATTATTAGGCATCTCTCCTCAAAGTTGATACAAGACATAGTAAATTTTCCCATATTAAAATAAACCCATTAGCTATCACATTGACATCCACAAACCACCCTAATCAAAAAAGCACTAGTATCAATTTCAACTTTTAAATTTGTCAATAAGCATTTAACACTAGTAAGCACACAAAAATAGTAAAGGAACAAAACTTTCAATTTTCTTCTTCCTGAAAAAATTTCATGATAATGTGACATACCAAAGAAAACACTCAAATAATGATGGAGCTTTGACAAAAGGGTGCACAAACACTTAAAAAACACTAGTACACAGAAATTTTTTTATTTATTTAATTGGATTGAGCATATAGCACTTGATAGAGTAGAATGATGAAAAAAGATTCTTGTAGCCAACTCCGCCTGATTGGGGCACCAGGCTTAGTTTGGTTTGGTTTGATCCTTATTACCTACTCTACTCCCAATCTATTAAGGATGGTTTTGTTTAGACACTTTAGCATTTTTGTTCTATGAAGAATCTACTATGTTATGCTATTGTCTGCTTGTATCTGAATGGCAAGTGGAATCAAGATATATTTAGGGAATTTGAATTGGGAGAATTGCTTATTTTCAAGAACTTTTATTAGTTTTATGTATACATATAAAAAATATATATTTATTTGTTGATGGCTGTGTCATTATATGATCAAACTATCATAGCATTTTCACTTTTTCCAACTTTTTCATTGTATGACCCAGCAACTTAATGACTCTATTGCAACTTTGGATATTTTCTTTAATTTTATATATAGGTATTAAAATACTTTCTCTACTCACGTATTTGTTTATTCATTAGAATTTTATTAACAAAACGCCCCTCCATACCTAAGCATGTCTAATCTCAATAGGGATACAATCTGATTCTAATGTCTTGCCTAGTTTCGAACCAGATTTCATCCACTTCAGTGCAAATTCCACCTCAAACTCTCTTAATCGACAATAAACTTATATTTGTTAGTTCCAATCCAACAAGCCTATTGGCTATTGTATTCCTCTCCTCTTAAGTTTTCTAAATGTTTTTCATTTTATCAATTTCTGAAAATAACTTTTTCCACCTTTCCTTATTTTCCTCATCTTTCACTAAAACCCTTAAATCCTCACTTTTTATGCATTTAGCCAAATAAAGTCTCTTTTTTACTTTCTTTTCATTTAGCAAGTTTGTAAATATTTTTTCTCCATCTTTACCATCTAATCTAATTTAAAGATTGCCAGTGACTTTTATCTTAGCATCTCTAAATGTCCTTTTAACCTTCTTATAAGCCAATTTAAATCTCTTAAAAAAATTCTCATTTTTATCCTTTTGCCACTTTTAAAAAACACTTCTTTTTTTTTTTTTTTTCCAAGAGCAAGTATCTTTAGCTATAGGGATTTTTCCCTTTGACTCTCCAACGATTTCTCTCGATATTCTTTTAAAGCATTCTGCCATTGTATTCTGCATATTATTAATATCACCTACCATACTCCATGTTGCTTTTTTAAACATTTTGTCTTCAAATATTTCTAATTTCTGAGCTTTTAGAATCCACTTTTCTTTAATGTATATATCTAGCATTGTTAGCCCAAGTTGTAATGTTACACTCTTTTCTGGGAATAAACTTTTACATATTAAGCGGTATTTTTTCCTGCAAGAAAATAATAAATTTCTCTCTTATTTGACCCACTTTTAGTAGTTATTATGTGTTTTTTCTCTTTTTAAAGAACTGTTGGTTACTATAAGATCAAATTCTACTACAAAATCTAAGAAGCCCTCTCCGTCCTCGTTTCAGTCACCAAAACCATATCCACCATGTACCTTCTCGTACTCTTGCTTATCTTTATCTATATGAGGAGTTACTAGTAAGAAAAATCAACAAAATTCAAAATGCCCAACCATAATTAAGTAGTGGAAGTTGAGTTACGAGACACATCAAAGTACCAAAAGGAAACCATATATGTTAAAAAATATTATTAAGCCATATGTTAGCCATCATTAAACATAGAAATGTCAATAGAAAATTCACTAACATGTAAAACAAGCACTTGGGATACTCCACTATATTATAATAATGAAACGAGATTTGTAAAAGACAACTAATCCAAAACGGAGAAACACAAACATCATATTCTAAAGCAAAAGTTCTGTAAAAAAGAAGAATTAGAATTCAAATAAAATGCTTACAATGAGATTTCGAAGTTTGTTTGTTTGGTGAATCACCATATGTGATAGATATGTAGAAGGATGAAACTATGTGAAAAAGTTCTCAACAGTGTCACTGACACTGATCCCAGCAGAGACAGGGATACTATGAACCGAAATGGTAAATTGATGTGGCTGAGGTTTTGACAAATAAAAATAATCAACTCTCTTTGAAGATATATATCCATATTTCTACACATACATCTGTGTCCAATTGTGGGTGTGGTTGATTCAAGGCAAATGAAAACCCCCAAATCATATATTCAGCTTTGAGATGGTAAGATACTCAATAGCCAGAGAAGTAACCTACTTCTAATAGAAATCGAACAAAAGTCAAACCAATTTTGGACTTGAAGAATAACATAATTTCATAGAAATCAAACAATTCAACCAAACCCATTTACGAAATCAACACAAAATTAAACTAAAAAAATCATATAAACCCTAGATGAAGTGTGAGAGATAGTGAAATAGGGCAACGCAGAGAGAGGGAGAGACCCAGTTCGACAGAGAGGGAGAGGACCGAGAGTGACAGAGAAAGAGGGACAAGAACCTGTGATTTGCGGCAGTGGAAGTAGCGACTTGCAGCTGTGGCGACGTGTGATGGTGAGGTGGTGATCGTCACTGAGCATACATCTGGTTTGGTGTACTGATCAGAGGCAGAGAAAGAACCGTGTGAAGAAGTAATAGATTTGGGCAAAAATTTAGACGCCAAACATGAAATATTTCCCAGTAAAATTTGAACACTGCCGACTAAATTTTAGTCGTTGAAGATAGGTTATCAAAGATAAAAAAAAAAAAAAATAATAATAATAATAATAATTTATTCGGTGACTAAAATAATTTTTTGTCGTTGAAAGTAAGGTTTTGGCGACTAAAACTTTAGTCGCCAAAGAGAAAAAATAATTTTTTTCGGCGATTAAATATTTTAGTAGCCAAAAATCAATATACGGTGACTAAATAATTTTTGTCGCTGAAAGTAAGTTTTTGGCGACTAAATATTTTAGCAGCCAAAAGTCAATATACAACGACTAAGTTTTTTTTTTTGTCGCCAATTATGGCATTTTTAGCGACTAAATTTTTTTTTAGTCGCTAATAATGAATATACCCCGACTAAAAAAAATTAGTAGCTAAATATTTTACTTTTGGCGACTAAAAAAATATTAGTCGCCAATTCCATAACTTTTGGCAACTAAATTTTTTTAGTTGCCAATTTTAGTCGCCAAAGGTGCATTTTGTTGTAGTGTGAGCTTCCACCCCAACCACCATTGCATCAAGCCTTCAAAGACCCAGGTAACACCCATTAAATTCCCCACCAGACCATGATGTTTGACCAAACATGCCACACAAATGAACAGAACAAAAAAATATGATTAGAGGTTTCCTCCTCAACTTTGAACAACACACACTGCCAAGTCCCATTACCTCTCAAAACTCCAATTCTGCTGAGAAATGCAAATGTTTTCAACCTACCTTTCCAAGCAAGCCAAGTAATGAATTTAGCCTTAGGAGGAGCAAAGTTATTCCAGACCAAATCTAGATAGCTGAGGATAGGCCCATCACTTTGTTTGCACCAGTTATACACAAATCCAACTGTGAAAATCCCCGATTAGTCAACTTTCCACCTGATTGAACCCCTTTGACTAGCCACAAGGCATGGTCATACTCCCAGTAGATTTTGCAACCTTAGTACCTCATCTTCTTCCCATTCAAATAGAGGCCTTCTAAAGTTAAAGCACCAATTGTTGCTATTATCTCTACAACCAATCAGCATCTTTAAGGTGATCTTCTTATTTAAACTCAATTGATACAGCCTTGGAAACTGAGATTTAAGGCTTGATGTTCCCAACCAAGTATCCTGCCAAAATTTTACCCTATTCCCACCACCAATCCTAAGCTCCACATTTCCTAGAAAAAAATTATGCAGTCGAGTATTTAAATAAGGCACAGCAAGGACTTGTCTTCAGATAGCAGAAATAGAAGCCAAAGCATGCACTGGAGGAAACCGGTGACCCCCCGATACTCCATACTTGGCACAAATCACAGATTTCCACAGAGCCTCATCTTCAAAGGCATTTCTCCACCACCACTTAAGAAGTAGACATTCATTCGTCAATCTAATATCTCTAATACCAAGACCTCCTTGTTTCTTATTCATCTACACTACTTTTCATTTTACCAAATATATTTTCCTTTTAGACTCATCCCTTCCCCACAAAAACCTTGCTTGAATCCTATCAAGTTCCTTAGCAACGCACTCTAATATCTTAAACAAGGACATATAATAAACAGGCAAAGAAAATAACACAGCTTTGATGAGAGTGACCCTACGAGCATAGGATAACAACCTTCTCTTCTACCTAACTAATTTCTTTTTATACCTGTCTAGCACTGGCTGCCATGTTTGCTTCCGACTTGTATTGGCTCCAAGTGGCAACCCAAGGTACTTTAAAGGTAACTTATGACTCCGACAATTAAGTATGTCTGCAAACTCCTCATCCAACCCATTATCAACTCCCACCCGACATATCATGCTTTTATGAAAATTAATCTTCAACCCCAAGACCATCTCAAAACATCTTAAGATTCGTTTAATAGCCACAACCTTTGCCCATTCAGCCTCACAAAGTATAATAGTGGCATCCGCGACTTGAAGATGGGATACGATGACCTCATTGTTACCCATTGCCACTCATTTTATAATCCTCAATTCCTTAGCTCTTGACAACAATATGTTCAAGCCTTCAGCAACAACATTGAACAAGAACGGGGAGAGAGGATCACCCTGTTTTAACCCTTTCTATGGACAAAATTGAGCTGTCAGTGAGTCATTTACTAATATGGAAATTCAGCAGATTCTATACACTTGTTCATCCATCGAATCCATCTTGATCCAAAACCAAAACTACCTAACATCTACAACAAATAATTCCAATTAACAGTGTCGTATGCCTTTTGAAAATCCAGTTTGAGAATAATACCCTTCTTTTTTGATGTTTTCCACCAATCCACCACCTCATTAGCTATAAGCACACCATCTAGAATGTTTCTTCTCCCTACGAAAGTAGATTGGGCCTTATCAATCACAGTAGACAGGACTTGTTTCATTCTACTAGCGAAAACTTTGGACAACACCTTAGATGGGGAATTTATCAAGCTAATGGGTCTGTAATCAAGAAAAGAGGTTGGATTCTCCTTTTGGGGAATAAGAGCAACAAAAGAGAAATTTACCGCATACCTCAATTTACAATTGCTATTGAACTCCTTCATAAACTTCATAATGTCACATTTCAAAAACTTCCACCCTTTTTGAAAGAACATCATATTAAACCTATCCGGGCTTGGGCCTTTGTTTCCATCACACTCTTTTTACATCAGCCCATACTTCTTCTTCTGAGAATTCTCTCTCTAGAATAGCATCTACTTGATTAGCAGCAATTTTCTTAAAATCACCTCCAATACTTGGCCTAAACCACCAATGTTCAGTAAATAAATTTTGGAAGTGATAGCAAGCTGCATATTTGACCTCAATAGGTTCATCCACCTCAACCCCATTAACCAAAACAGAAGTAATCACGTTTCTGTTATGCTTCTTGGTGGCCATAATGTGAAAGAATCTAGTATTTCTATTTCCTTTCAAAGCCCAATCCAACCTCGATTTTTGCATCCACATCCACTCCTTTCTTTTACTAAGCTTCCATATCAAACCCCTGACTTCCTTTCTTTGACCCTCTTCCTCCTCAGTCAATTCCCTCACTTCAGATTGTAAATCCATAGAATGTAACACACTTTCAGCTTCTTTCAATTCTAATTCTACATCACCAAACACTTCCACATTCCATTTTTTCAGAGCTACTTTTAGAGTTCTCAGCTTTTCCATAATTATATAAAAAGCCCAACCATGTATATTAGTTGAGTCCCAAACTTTTTTTGCATCACCAAGGAACTTAGGGTGTAAAACCCAAGCATTGATGAACTTGAAAAGCTTCGGGCCCCAATTCCTATCATCTTCCATCAGTAAAATGGGGCTATGATCAGAAAAAAAAGTCTTGGTAACCCCCATACCTTGTATCTATACAATTCCAGCCACTCAAGGTTAACCAAAAACCTATCAATCCTGCTCCAACTTTGAGAATTACCCCCAGTATATTGCCTGCCTAACTTTGGTATATCTACCAATTCAAGATTGCTAATGAAGTTGCCAAACTCACCCATTCATCTGTCCCTTCTTATACATAATCTAGTTACATAATAGATGACGTAACACTTTTTTTTTTAATTAAAAAAGAAAAAGAAAAGAGTAGGGTGGAAACCGTATGTTACTATGTAGAGCTCACAAGTGAAATCCATTCTTCTTATCTCTATTATGTAATTTATTTTGTGGATGAATTCTGTAAAACTAAATTTATTCCTAATTCAATGAAATCCATTGAAACAATAAGAAGGGAAATATAAATTTTAAAGGGCTAATTGCTTTTTTAGTTATCAAAGTATGGGGTTTGTATCATATGGTACACGCCACTCAAAGGGTGTGTATCATATGTAACTTATACATATAAGAAAAAAAATAGTATAATTTTTTAAATCATAACTTTAAAAAAAATAAAAAAATTCATAACTAAACACGAAAAAGTCATAACCAAATATCTCAAAATAATATCATAATTAAAAAAATGGTCATAACTAAAAAAAAAATGGTATATATATGAGTTCATATGATATGAGAGTGTGCATAATAGAATTTTCCATCATTTTTATTCCTAATATTTAAATTGTTTCAATTTAATTTTCAATGAATAGAAAGTGTTTTAATTTGGTCTCCAAATCTAACTTTTTTAAGTTCGTCATAAATAAAAAATACACTTAAAAATTTTACTATTTTAATTCCCAAACTAATAGATAGGTGTAAATAATTTATTTTAAAATTGGATTAAGTATTCTTTTAGTCCCGAGAGTATTATTTGTGTCATTTTACCCTTTATAAATGAAGTTTACAAACTCATACCCATAAGAGTTATTCCTTTCATCAATAGGTCATATCAATTTGTAAGAAATAAAATTATATACTCAATTTATTTATATAGCATTTTTTCTTTAATGGACGACCCCTTTCTATACTTGTAAAAATATGCTAAATATATCTCACATATTTTGGTCCTTAAAACGAAAAAATTGAATGTACTTACACTCTGTTTGGCTTGTAGAGTGAAAATGAAGAGAAAAAAAAATTGTGATCTTTTATTAAGGTGAGAAAAAAATTGTATTTTTTCCACTATCATTTTTTGATACGTAAAAGCGCAAATTATGTGTTATAAAAATATAAATGAGATTTTGTTTTTCTTTTTATTTTAATAGACAATCTCGATAATATAGAGATTGGATTATCAAGTTAGCTTGAGAGAACATTTAGGTTTGGTAGGTCCATTTTAGCACCAATCTTGGTAATTTAAATTGATCACTTTTTAGGACTCATTGAGCCGAATATTCACAAAAAAAAATTAAGATGTTCGGACATCGGTAACTATAAATTTTAATTACATAGACAACAATTATAATTTTAAGAGTAGTCAAACATTTTTTATAATACGAATGTGATATATAACTTTTGATATTCGATCATCTTAGTTTTATATATATATATATATATATTTTATTCAACGAGCAGAAATAAATTTTGTGCTAAAATATTTTAATATTTCAAAAAATCTCAAAACAGTGAAACAATATTTTTTTCAAAAAGTAAGGGCTCGAAATTTCATTATATAAACAAACATATTTTCACTTACAATTCCAACCTAATACTAATAATTTTCTCACTAAATTTTATTATATTAATAACTTCATCGGACTTAATTTGGCAAACAAGCAGGGAGAATTTCAATGGAAAATTATATATGGGGTGTTTGGTAAGAAAAATTTCAACCTTTTTTAGGTTAAAATTCACAAAAAGATAAAAATAGGCTAAAATAACTAATAAAACAAAATGTCATATCAAATCCATAATCATTTCACTTTTTCTCTCACAAACATTATATCTAACTACAAAAAGAAATCCAATCATTTTCCCAAAAAATTTTTTTTAGCTTATTTAAATAGCCAAAAACTAAAATAACCTACTAAAATAGCAATTTCCCAAACACCCACATAGTATGCATCTTTGATTACGACTTTTGTGATCTTTAGTTATGATTTATTATTATGTTAATTATGATGCTAATTATCACATTATTTTGATTATGATTCTAGTGCTACTTGGTTTTACCTTATATGGTATTTGATTATAAGGTTTTTTTTTCTTTCCCATTTTTTTTCTTTAAGTTAGAGAAAATATCATTTTGTCTTCTAAACTATCACTCACAAATCAATTCAACTCTTATATTTCAATTATATCAATTTTACACCTAAACTAGACAAAATTTACTGATGTGGTAAATTTCATTTGAAACTTTATTTTACTCCCAAACTATATCTCAAAAATCAATTAGACCCCCATATATAAAAAATTTAAATTTAAAATTTTAATTAATAATTTTTTCTCAAAAATGAAAAAATATATTTTAAATAATATACTTTGTAAAAAAGTTCTTATTTAGAATTGTCTCTTTAAATCTTAAATTATGTTGAGTCGATCCTAGATAAACTAATTGATTAGAAAATTTCATAGCTACACTATATGCGTGCGTGCACACAATTGTAGCTAGCTTATTCTCCAAATTAATTTCAATAGAATTGATCGAGTAACAATAATTTCAAAATTAAGTTGATAAAACTTTAGACCACGCTTATTATGAAAGTAACATATTTTTTTGACATTTGAAAAATTATATTTAAGGATGAAAATAAATATGCCGAGGTTTGCTTACAAAATCGAGATAAGTACCTACTTAGTTGTATTATCGAATGAATGACAATTTAACTTAAAAGTTAACAATTACTTGCTAAAGAATACTCAACAGGATTAATACTAAAAAAATTTAGATGAAAAATTATTATTAAATATTTAAATTATTTTTTTCTATATTAGGCATATAATTGATTTTTTAGGAATAGTTTGGGGTGAAATGATATTTTAAATAAAATTGGTGCTGCATCAACAAGTGCCATCTAATTATAGGCGGTAGCTAAAGTTAGGGGTGAAATTGATCTAAAATTGAATTGTTTAAATGTAAAATTGATATAATTAAAAATATAGGAGTTAAATTGATTTTTGAGTGATAATTTAACGAGTAAAATAATATTTTCTCTTTTAATTACTCCCAAAAAATTGAATTGTAATATTTGTGATAATCAAATTCATAAATATTATAATTTACATATATATATATATAGTATTCATCATCCAATTTTAATTCATGCAATATAAAGCCTTTTTTTGGGATGTATGTTGGCTTTTTGGTTTTTTAGCTATTTTAGTCTGGGGCTAAAAAGTCTCGTTTGTGATGATCTTTTTGACTTTTCAGTTCTGCTACGTAACTCGAATAAGGCTTGCCCCAAATGGCTCAAATTCTAAAATGACGTCGTTTTGGAATTTTTTTTCTCTTTCTCTTTTCTCTCTGAAGATGAAAAAGATGAAGAGAGAAAAGGGAGCTGGGAAACCCAGAGAGAGAGAGGGAGACAGAGAGAAAAAGAGAGAGAGAGCATCAACATCAACAACAATACATCATCATCAACAATAACCAACAATCATAAAAAATAAAAAAAAATTGTCGATTTGTGCTGTATCTGTTCTTCCTTTGGTTAGATCTGTGTTGTGCTTCTTCTTCTTCTTCTTCTCTATACACATACAAATCTATACACACACACACACACACACAGATACACACAGAGAGAGAGAGAGAGGTACACAGATTTATACAGATCTGTGTATACATACACAGATCTATTTGTGTATACACACAAATGATGGCGGCGCCGGTGATGGCAGCGCTAGTGATGGTTGGTTCTCCTCCCCCCTCTTCTCTCTTTCTTCTCTTCCTCTCTCTTTTTCTTTCTTTTCTTATCTTTTCTCCCTCTTTTTATAAGAAAAAAGAAGAAAAAAAAAAAAAACTGCCCAAAACGAAGTTGTTTTGGGCAATCGAGCCATTCAGGTCAAAGGCATTTCGAGCTACCAAGTATTATTATTGACTTTTTTGACTTTTGTGAAAGAAAAAATAAAATGATTATGATTTGGATGTAACATTTTATCTTATTAACATTTTAATTTATTTTGTCTTTTTATGACTATTTTAACCCAACCAAACAAAGCCAAAGTCGCATCACATGGCATCCCATGTATTTCATATTATGAGGCCTACTTTGAAAAATGTCAAATAAATTAACTTTTTCACTTATTACAATATATATATATATATATATATAAAATAAAAAATTAATATAATTCAAATAAATAAAAAAAAATTATAAACTGAGTTATAAATCATTTCTAAAAAAATGGCATCAACCTAACCATATTCATGAAGAAGTTATTTAGTCATTTAGAAGTATTACTTCACACCACAGAAATCATGAGAATTATCATATTATTTTTACATCAAATACAAAAAATTATGAGACTCACTATTTTAATTAATAAAATACATATTAAAACACCATTTGAATTTGCCCTTAGAGCAAGCTATAATTTCTCATACTCATGACAATTATTGTATCCAACAATATCCAAAGCGAATCACCCACGGAATGAAGAAATCAATGTATATATATCAAATCAATCAGGGTTTGGTTATGGTGTGCAACTTACACCTTACACCTTATACCTTACACTTACACCTTACACTTACACCTTTTGTAAAAAATTAAACCTTACACTTACACCTTTTTTGAGGTTGCACACCATGTGCAACCCACTTACACCTTACACCTTACACTTACACCTTACACTTACACCTTATACTTATACTTACACCTTACACTTACACTTTTTGTGTAAGTGGCACATGGTATGCACTTGCACACTTAAGAAAACTCCAATCAATTAAGTGGAGTTAGGACAGGCATATCTCCGAGGTGTTTGAT